GTTGACAAACAGTCAATATAGAAGAGTTGGATAGAAGGTGAATTCACATAAGTTCACTTGAATTTTTCCACATACTTACCATTTTGAAATTAAGAATTACTCTCATAGAAAAGGATCCCCGTGAAGACTATCTTGAAATGTTTTGCAAGGCCTGGGCCATTATGGTAAGGAAACTGGTGGAGGCTTGACTGGTCTCTAGTATCTTCCCTCTCTGGTCACCTTTTGGTCTTTCTCCTACTGCAGAAGTATATCCTTTACCGAAGAGCCACCATTCTCAAGTTTAATGGCTGTCTTTCTCCTCTGAGCCTGCCTGCTTATATGCAGTTGTGCTGTGCTGCAGTCCCATTTGCCCAGGACTTCTTGGTCTGTGCCAGGGATTCATGCATTGTGTTAATGAATACAACTCAACTACTGGTTCCTGTGGGTTTGAAATTACGAGAAACAGGTTTCCCGAATTCTTTCTTCTCTTGCTTTTAAAATGTTTTTCTTATACCCAGAGCAAATGGTCAGCAGCAAGTGTTTGCTCTTGATAGAATAAACATGTCACTCTGGCAACTTAACATGTACTGAACATTCAGGAACTCATTATTGCCAAAGCTGCTTGAAAGCAATTTTAGTTCTTGTCATTATACAGCTAAGGAAAGTTCATCAGTTTCGAAGTTGTCTGCCTTGAACTTGCTTAAACTGTGAGGCATGAGATCCAGATTATATTCAGAACACTAAGCCTTAGAACCAACTCTTTTAAAAATTGCATAATTAAAAAGGAGAATGTTTTAAGTATTTTTGTTTTTTTAAGGTTTTACAAACTAGTATTCTGCATCTTCCTGCACACTGACCTTTTGTTAATGTACTTGAATGTCAATTGAAACTAGTCAAATGTTACTTTAACATTTGTAGTGATAAAACTATAGACTCAAATTATTATTTTATGTTTTATGGGCCAAGTTTTTATTTTACTAAATATTTGACTGAATTTTCATCACAATGTATAAATCGATGTGTTTATTACCACCCTAGTTTGTGGTACATGTTAAAGAACAAAATACTTACTGATAACCAAAGACCATTTATATTTTCATGGAAGCCAATGGATGGGTTACATTGCAAGTTTTGGGAGCACATCATGAAAATATTTCTGGACACCCCCTGGAACTCCTCCCTTTGGGCCCACAGATACTCTTAAGGGAAAGTTGTTAAAGTGCATCCTGTTACTTCTTGTAGCTTCTGTACATCCAATCTGAGCTCATGGGACATGAACAGTGTGTCCTGGTTCAGGTTACTGTCTCCTCCACTCTGAGCAGGGAGTGGGGCTTCCAGTAGTTCTGATTAAATAGTAAAACAGTTATTTGGTTCTGCTCCAATGGTGATCAGGGTGCATGTATACTCTTACTCTTCCTTCCTGGTCTTCAGGCACCTTTGCTTCCAGGATTACGACGTCAGTGTCATGTCCCTGAAGGCATCTGATCTGCTGTGACATGTGGAAAACCACACCCCCTGGCCATGCAAGCATAGCAGGGAGCTTCCCAGTTGACACCCAGCAAAGTGACCTTCCCTCCCCCATGCCCAAGAGGTGGGTCTAGGTATTCACCTTAATGCTAGTGGTCAGAGACCCCCAGCTAGTTCCTCTCTACCATGGGTTTCGTCTTTTCTGAAATAGAGAACTATGATTGTGCCCAGTTCCTCAGGAGAGTGTTGGAGAATCAAGTGAAGAATGGCCAGAAGCACCTAGCAAGTGCCCACTGTAAATGATCTTCCTTTACTGAACCACACAGGTACTTTGTTCATCAGTCTCAGCAATGAAGGACAACAGATTGGTTGGTGTCTTGTGAAAACCCTTCCCTTGCTTATAGTTGGTACCTCAGGACCGGTTCTCCTGTTCTTCACGAATGCATCTGTCTTTTCTCTGGCACGGCAGCTCATCTCACCCATATTGGACTCAGTTATTTTTTCCCTCTTCTCTTTACTACTATCCCATGGAATTAGAGGTTAAAATTATAAGGTTTCATTTTTAAATGTAGAAAGATGGGGGAAAACTAAGGAAGTAATTTGATATAAAGCCATATATACATTTGTTTCAATCAAGTTAAAGGAAAACCTCTCAGGCCAAATATAATTTTTCTATGAAGTCAATGTAAGTTTTAAATGTGTGATCTGGAGTTATATTATAATAAAGCCAAGTAATTCCTATTATGGGCAAAGTATGCAACTTTGTTACCATAATGCCTAGCATGCCCCTGTGTTCTTTTTGTTACCTTCTGATCGCAAAAGTGATATTTATTGTGGACAAATTGGAAAATATTTTATTAAAATGTAGAATCAAAAAAAATAGCTTGTAATTGTACCATTCAGACTAATCACTTTTAACATTTTATTTGCACGCATATATGTAGAAACAGATATATAGGACTTATTTGCACTGCAGAGAACACATACTTAAAAAAATCTAAACACGATGTTACTGCATGTGCTGTTGTGAATCTGTATCGGCATCTTTTGACTTCCAGTGATGGCAGCCCCAACTTATCAAGATGAAACAGGAAGTATCTGACCTCATGAACTAGGAAGTCCGCAGACAGGAAAGGCTGCAGGAGGGTTGGTTCATTGGCTCTGTGAGGTCATGAAAGACCCACATGCTTTCCATTCTGTCTGTTTTGCTATCACCAAGATCAGCTTCATGCAAAAGTCTTTCCTCTGATGGCCATAAAATCACCACCATGAACACCTGGGGCAAAATCATCAAGACCCACACCTGATGCTCTCTCTTGTTGCATGGCTGGATTACAGGGGGAAGGCATGGTTGCCATGATAAAATCAGGGCCACTGAGAGAGAAGACAGGATGGGCCCATGTCGCCTGCTTTACTGCTTTTAAACATGGTGTTCTTCTTAAGGTTTACAGCAGTTATCAGTATTCAAAATTAAGATGAATGGCTTTAGATGTTTTACATTCATTTGAAAAGTCATTCTCTTATAGAAATGCTCTGTTCAGAAAGATTTGGATAGGAATACAGACTTGCTTTCTGGGAAATTAATCTTCATGTTCTCCAGAGATTTAGCATTTTCATGGTATCATTTTGGCAGTAGCAGTTTTTCTTCATGAATTTTGACATACACCTGTATAGAAATTAAAAACTAAAAGAAAAAAGCTTAAAGATAGTTGGAAACTTTAATATTTTTATCTTTATGTACTTTTTTATTTTTAATACTCTTGAAATAATGCCATAAATAATACAGAGAATTCATGGACATTTTACAAGGATAATTCTGAGAAATAATAAGCATATTTGAAATTACTATGATAAAAATCAGATGTTAAAGAAAAAGTTATATATTCAGTTTTTAAATTGTACTATTAAATGTGTAACTTCATGTGTAGTAAATATTCATATTTAATTTTAGCTGCCAGTGTAACATATACTAAAATAAAATGGAACAGTTTCCATGGTTCTATAAAAGCATCTATAAAGGAGTCATAAATAATTATAATAAAACTCTTTTGAAATATTTTTATGGGACTAAAAATTGAAAACTTCCTAATAGGGAAATTTTAATAAATGAGACATGAAGTAAGTGAGTCATAGAGACCTCAAACAGTAATATATCCTATGGGAACCCTGAATAAGCAATAACTGCTTAAGATAATTTTATATAATGTATAAAAATCAAGAGTTTTTGAAAAAGCTCTGCAAAAGGTAGCAGGAAGAAAAAGGATTATTATAATGCTAAAATTCCTCATGAGAAGTTACTCATTTTGCTTGCTTCTAATGTTACCAGAATAAAGATGTTAGATTATCTGAATCTTGAGAGTGCTGTAATGATTCCCTATAGAGTAACACAACTGTGGTGGGTAACAAAACTCACTCTAGAGTCCCAAGATGTTTCTCATGTTTTTGAAATAAGAGCTTAGACTAAATGATATTTTGGTGCTCAGAATGCATCTTACCTTCTGTGCCAAATTTACTAGCCAAGGAATAGTTTACTCACATTAATATTTTTTTAAACAAATTTTACCTCCCTCATTCACCTCTGTAACCGGCAAAAAGAATACAGAATTATAGCAAAAGTGAAGGATACCATAAGACATCCATTTCAAATGAAAGTTCTTTGGATGCATGGAAGTTGGATCTTTAATGTTTTTATTCTTTTAAAAAAAATAGTATAATGAGAGTCTTTCTATGGTATGATTAGATGAGTATTAATCTGCATGTGAGAAGACCTAGTCCTCCTCTGGTGTTAAGTTGCTGTGTTAGCTGGGACAAGCGACTTAACTTCTCTGAGCCTCAGTGGCTCAGAGAAAGGGCGGGTGCTTTAAACGAGTCTCAGAGTGTCCTTTCCCACTAGAATCAGGATGAATGAGAAGGTCTTGGTCACGGTCAAGGAGACCATTTACTTGTCCTTTGCACTTCTAAGACATGCGGAGATAGTATATGTGAAAACCACGTGGCCTGGAGTTGATAATTATAGGAGAATTTAAGTTGAAGGGGGGCAGCACCATGCCCATTGACAACTTACCTTCTATGCACAAGCACAGACATCCATACACAAAGGCTCTGATGAAGCTCCCCTAAGGTAGAGAAAACCACAATAAATTCACTTGCCCTGGGTCAGGGTTGTTGTGGTCCAGCCTTCTAATTGAAGGGATTTCTTGTAGCTGATCATGTTATGCATACTCAGAGGAACCTCTGAGTTTTAATAAAGTCTGGATGTATGTGTTCCAGAACATTGTCTTCTTCACAGTCAAGTGCTGGAATCAGGATGAATGAGAATCAGGATGAGTGGAGCACCAGTAGGCTGAGACACTGGGGCCGCAGTGTGCCAGCTGCATCAGAAGAGGCTCTCTCTGCCATTGTTGTGGTCTTAAAGTCAGCCTGTGTATTGTTTTTGCCCTTCCAGCTCTTCTTTTAAACTCTAGTCATTTCTTTAGAGTTGGCCTAATTAATTTTGTCTTACAAGTAAGTTCCCTGGAATAGCTTTGACACTGTCCTTCTCTTTTCTGAAACAGAGCCATCACATTGGAGAATCAGCTGGTGATCCTTGCCACGACACCTAGTGACACTGGGGCATACTACGTGCAGGCTGTGAATGAGAAGAACGGAGAAAACAAGACAAGCCCATTCATTCATTTGAGCATAGCAAGTGAGTTTTGAAATCCCAAATGGTAATTCTGAAAGCAATAAAATCTTGCTTTAATTAATAACCACTGCAATAAATTTTATCTCTCTAGCATAGTAGTTATGATTTAATATTGATCCAATGCCAATAGTTTGGAGAGCTTTAGGGCTGTTGTTTTCTTTGAAATGATATGCAGAAAAATGTGACTCTAACTGATACTTCTGAATGCCAGATCTTATTTGTTTTGGGAATTTAAAGAACGTATTTGCTTTTTATACACAGTCAACGCATATTGTTCCTAACAACAAAAAAATCTTTGAATTTAAATGAATTGTATCCATGAACCTAAATTAGGACTAAATTAGGGACAGACTATATTCTTTTAATATAACAAGAAAATCCTTGAGAAATTCTACATATTAAGTTGTACCAAAGTTAGCAGTATTTAAGTATAATCAGTTGATCATTTTTTCCACCTAATTTAACTAAAAGTCTGATTTTTGAAGAGAATGCACAAAAATCATGGGTATTTCTATATTTTATTTGAGGGGACATTAGTTTAAGCAAAATTAGTTTTACATGTTTGGCCTTTAAATTCTACCAGCAAGAGTTAATTGCTAAAAAAGGGAAAATCACCCAAAGCAAGAAGTCTGAATTAAACTAGATTCAGATATCCATATCAGAAGGCTTGTCATCAAGTGTTTGCAGCATGAAGCTTCATGGTAGGAAATGAAATTGTCATGTGGTTGAGAAAATAGGGTTGAAACTAGTCATGGCGCATGGTAAATTTCAAAATATTATGATCATATCATATAAGAGTGAGCTATATTGATTGATTCGTTTGTATAGTAGTGGATTTCATCTTTTAAAAAATTATCTTAAAGGAATGATTTCCCCCTGCAAGTGGTTTGAAAAGTATGTGGGGCTGGGCATGGTAGCTCATACCTGTAATCCCAGGAATTTGGGAGACTAAGGCAGTCGGATCACCTGAGGTCAGGAGTTTGAGACCAGCCTGGCCAATATGGTGAAATCCCATCTCTACAAAAAATACAAAATTAGCTGGGCATGGTGGCACGCACCTAGAATCCCAGCCACTCAGGAGGCTGAGGCAGGAGAATTGCTTGAACCCGGGAGGCGGAGGTTGCAGTGAGCCAAGATCATGCCAGTGAAACTCGATCTCAAAAAAAAAATGTATGTGGGATGGAGTGATAGTATTTGCCTCACATGGCCCTGGATGGCTACAATTGTCTTAGGCCCAGTAGAATTTCCTGGGTGAATCTTTACAGGAAACTCTGGGTGCAGGCTTCTGTGGGAATTAATTGAGTAGGCTCTCACGTGCCTATCTAATTGGTCCTAAGTGGCCATGATGTGCTGTCATCCTGCCTTTAGCTCCTTAATTTGAGGAATTGAATCTTGCTCTCCAGAACTTAGTCTATGACAGATTTAGGATGAGTGGGGCCTTTGTGATGCCATGACGAATTATGCACATGGATTAGGTGTGGGGTTCACAAAACCCAATGCATGCTGTACTATGAGTGAAAGGACTGTCTGCATCAGGAATTACAGTAGAAATAAGGATGATTTAATAAGATTTTTTCCAATAGTGATAATAAAGAATGGAAATTGTATTATCAAATACATTGTTACTATTTTAATGATTCCAAACTTTACAAGTGGAGTCATTTATCCTGTTTAGCAAATACAATTTTATACTCAACTGTAATGTAACTACCAGGATAATAATGAGCCAAAGGGTGAAATTCTGCATCAGAAACAAGGAAGTTGGCCTTCCTCTGTTAGAAGAGGGGAAAAAATTATTCCACAAAAATTGTGGTAAACGTGACAAAGTTATAAAACATCCTTACCTAGTACTTGCCTACCTGCCTACTCTGTAAGGGCCAGCAGAAAATAAAGCGAATACAGTAAATTTGCAAACTACCATACTAATGCAATACCATGGCTTTAGATAATTGGAATATGTAAATTTTTTTCAGTAATTTCAGTTTCTACCCTGACCAAAAAGTATATTGAAAGCTGCTCATAAATATTATAATTAACTGGCTTGCATTTTGTTCCTTTGTATGTATATTTTTAACTTTTCATTGGCACCAGGTAAAAATGTGTGAAAAGTGAGATATATGGACTTATTTTAAATCTTAGGAGAAAAACCTACATTTTGTTCCTTTATAAATTCTTTGCTTTTTATCAGGGCCAGGTAAAATGGGAGAAGTAAGGAGGTTGCAGAAACTGCCTTATTTTAATTCTTAGGAGAACTTTCCTGTTGACATATTGGGTTTAGCTAAATGTTAAATGGCAACCAATTATGCTTTTTTTTTTTTTTTTTTTGCTAAAAGTTTTATTTTGAAAACCTCTAAAAGTCAGAAGTCCTGATTAATCTGTAGAAGCCCTCAGAATTGTTTAAATCGTGCTTCTTTCTGGAATGCAGTGAGTGGTCTAAGCAACGAACACTGCAGTTCAGGACCTGGCCACCATACTCCTGGTGAGACTGTGAATTTATTGAAGGATGCGACTCCTCACCAGATTTATTATGAAATTAGATATTCTCAAGACCTATTCATACTGGTAGTAAGATAGAGTGTGTTCTGCAGACTTAGACATCTTTTTCTTCAGATGTAGGCTTTTGTGGAAACACCAAACGAGATTGATGAAATTTTTTAAAAACTTTCCAGCCAGCATTTCTGAAAAATCAGAAGATATTACAGCCAATTATTTAACGAAGATAAATTTTTCCTTGCTGTCGAGAGAATAAAGCAAAGAACCTTTATTTAGTGAACCCCATGGGGATGATCAGGTCCTGGTAATTAAATTCCTAGTGGATTGTGCTGTAATTAGTTTAAAATTGGAGTGTGAGGCAGCCCCATCTCTTGTTTGCTGTTGTAGTAAGAATCTGTTTCTTCCTCGAGGACAGCACTGTATTGGAGGGGAGCAGCATCCAGGTCTAGCCCTGTCTCAAAACATCTAAATAAGTGATGCACTATCACCCAGCTAACAGGAGGACATAATACATTTTAATCAACAACCTTGTACTTGAGAGTTCAAAAACATCTTCACCTTTTCAATTACTAAATACTGTGGCTACACTTGAAGCTTATGGGAAGCAAAAGACAAAGAGGTTTTAGATTTAAATAAATATTTTTTTTAAAAAAAGCATGACTGTTAGAAGTGAGATGCAGTCCCATAATGATACTGCCTGCTGTTTTGTGCATATTTAGTAGATGACATTATTATCTCTTAACATATCTCCCCTTTTGCATGGTTAAGAAGATAAATTCCTGCATGTTCTGCACAGATATTCCTGTAGGGAAGGAGAGGACTTCTCTGAACTCTCCACCCCGCTTCCCTGGTGAGAGCTTGCTGCCATCCCAGGAGTGGATCCACTTTGAAGTTTTAATGTGATGTGAAGCCAGCAGATGTTAAGGACATAGGTGGGACTGTTGAAGCGTCCTACATGAATTTTTCATAGCCAGCTCCCACAGCTCAGGTGCACACCAGAAAAAGAAGGGGCTGAGCATGGCTCAGAATAGACGCTTCTGTTCTGAGGTCAGACCCAGGCAAGCTTTTTGAACCTGTCAACCTATTTTTGGCTTTTGCTTTGAAGATTTTACATTGCCTTAACCTTTGTGGAATAGAACTTCTGAACCAAATTAATATGTGAATAGGAGTTTCTTCCTTTAAAAAAAAAAAGCATAGAGTTAGGAGATGAGACAAATTCTATACAGTGATGAATCAATCATTGTTTAAATGCCACTGTACATACCTTAGACACATCATCAGTTCTGATCCAATATTCAAAATGTCCTGTGTAATGAGATTCTCTACTAGGGATGAAGCTTGGATTAAAAAAGGAATGATTGCCTCTCTCCCTCCTGTTTTTTTCCCCCTCTTTCATCTTAATGTCTCCTCTTCAAACAACATTTGCAGATAGGATATCATTTCAGCTGATCCTCCTTCAGGCTGACAAAACCTTGATTTTAATTCTGAAGACCACTTAACATTTTTTTGTCCTCTATGGTGCTAATTTAACTACAGACCTCATATAGGTTTAGTAGTTGAAAGTGGATCCCTGAGAATCATGTCTATGAACAGTCATTTGAAAGGACTGCCTTGTAAAACATGGCTTTTGTGTTCCCTGGACAAAACTCTCTCCTATTTTCCTTATACCTTTAATATTAAAGGCAGAAGACTTCCAGATGGACTCTAACATGGCTTGGGTTCCTAAACAATAGGAACTGTTTGAAATATTACTAAAAATCAGTCTGGGGCCTAGCCTCACATCACAAATGAGCAATTTAGAACCAAGCATAGTTTTATAGGTTGTATGATACTTTACCGCCAGAATTTTCAGAAACATAAACAAACAAGTATGTATTTTATAGTAAAATCATGAGTTTAATTATTTAGCCATGCATTGAACCTGCTGTACAGAGTGAAGCATGAGGCATATTCTGGCCCTGGGCCTCCTGAGCTGGTGTTAGACAGAACTAAGTCTAGGCCATGGTTCCTAACACTTTTCCATAAACACACCATCAAGAAATAAGCCTTCAGCTTTTCCCATGTTATATGTACATTTTCAGTGCTGCAAAAGAAGTAGCACTTGAATATAAATTTCCTCAGCAAGGCAAGGGTACGTTTCACAGATGGAGCAATGGTGAGCGCAAACCTGGACAAGGGAGGGGAAGGGGTTCTTATTCCTGATGTAAGTAGCCCCTACTGCTGTGTCGTTCCCCTGTTGACTAGGGTTAGACTACACAGTCTAAGCTAATTCCGATCAGCTATTTTAAAGAGAGCAGGGGTATGATCCAGAGTGGCCGGCTGGGTAGTTTGGCAGGAAGAATGGTTAGGAACAGGTCAGAGTGACTGACTGGGGTGACTCAGGTCAAAGCCAGTGACCAGGGGAAAAAATGTAAACTACTGATTAGAACTGGTGGGAAAGTTGTTTACCGAAACTAGAGGCAAGGGGGCACAGAGAACCAGGAAGTTAAACCTTAAAATGGAGAATTAAA